AAACAAACACTACTACAAGTTCTATCTCAATATGCAAGACATCTACATCATCTTTCACTAACTATCCACATCACCTTCCACTAATAGTAGTCATGTTATGCCACTAACTTCCAACCCATTAATGTAAGCCATCCACGTCATCTCTACTTTATTTTATTTCAAATTCTTCACAATTCCTACAGCAACACGCACGGTATCTTGTAGTTTATTCCAAAATCTCACACAATCTAGGACACCAAACAAGCTAGGCACACACTCCTCCATGATCGATCGAATTGGTGAAAATTGGTCTAAAATGAAGGAAGAGCATCTCCATGAACCATCTCAAAATGTAAGACAATCTACACAAATGCAACAAGCTTGAAATGAAAGGGAAGCTAATTACCAACCATGGTATGCTTTCTTCAAAAATCACCATTCTCCAGTCTCCATGAGCTTGACGGTGAGAAGCCGGTTGGAGGAGGATGGGAGGTTTTGTACTGTATATTTTCACCGCCAGGTTGATATAAGAAGCGAGAAGGATGTCTGTTTTCACCGCGTTCCGACCTATGTGATGTGATGGAATTCAAAGCTGATTATGATAATTTTTTTCACCTCTGGCTCCAACCATGACGAACCTTCAGTGAAAATAGGCTCTCCTTTTATTATTGGTCCGTGGTTTGTACTAATCAGCAGTGAAAATGCATCACGTGGACGACGTGTTGGGTTGGTACGAAGGGGAAGAGCTAGAGGAAGATAGTTGGGCCCAAAGCCCATTATATGCATATCATTCCTTTGTTATCTGCAGTAGAGACTGCTAAATTAATCTGAGAGTATTCAAGCATTACAGAGTTTCTCATTCTCCAAAGAACCAACAGAGGGAAGCCTAAAAACACAAGGCGAGGGCATAAGGCACTTAAAAGTTTTTCACATACGGTCAATACATATGCAAAATTAGATAGCTAGTGCTTGGAATCACAATCCGATGCCAAGGTCTTCTGGCGCCAGCAAACGACTTGTCACTCACCACCTTGATTCTTCTAAAGTTACATGTGTTTCTGGCATAGCAAGGCTTAGCAACTTTTCATGTACTTTCTTCGCCTTGCTTACAGTGACCGAGTGATACATTACTCTCAATTTTTTTAGCTTCACTGCCCAACAGAATAGTCGTTTCATAAAAGTAAGTTCATGATCTGATCCTTTCATCTCACTGATCGCTACTTCTTGGAGGTGTTTGAGAATGAGCTCCTCAGTCTTCCAGTTTGTTGGTTCATCACAAATACAGCCTGATGGACAGGCTGAGTGTGACTGTGCCTAGAACAAGAAGAACCAGTTCTACTGTCAGGTATTGTCAAATGCAATTATATGAAGAAAAAAAAAGAGTAAAGCAAAAAAACTATCAATGCCTAGATATATAATTTCTTACTTGCTGGAAGCCAATTAGTAGCAGCAATTTGGCATACACAAAGACAATGATCAAACAAGTAATTTTAAAATTGCACAAATCCGAAGGTACCGTGCAATCAATAGCCCATAAAAAAAATATTCAATGGATCATACATAGGTTATAAATGGAACCATAATAGTGAGCACAGCTTACATGTCAGTGCTGTCAACTAGACTCCATGCGTACAAGGAACAAGGCTACACTAATTGCACCAAATAGACTAACACACGCCCCAAACTTCTTACTATCTGCAACATCCCATACTGCCAAAACTGAGTATGCTATGCAGCAATTTAATCAACTCCACATTTATTTTCAACATGCAGATAGTATGTGAAGAATTATTACCATGGAAAGTGTCCCATTCCGATAGAAATATTTACTTTCATTAGGAGACACATAAACATGAATATATGAAAGACAAACTTTGAAGCAATTGTCGGTGTAAAAGCAAAACAGAAAATAAGGCTACACAAAGATCAGGCTCAAGATGTGGCAATACAGTAATGCAGCGTCGATGTGGCTTTCTGTCACTTGCTTGGAGTATTTAGATTTTACATGAATAAATAATGGTTTACCTCATATAGCGCCAGCCTCAGTACACCTAAACAAGTACACAGACTGAGAATATGAAATACGCTGGCTCCAAAGTTATGTCCTTTGTTGCTTAGGATGAGGGTCAAGCTCTTAATCCGAGGGAGCACTGTAAGGCGTTGCATCTGCATCGAGTATTGAGAGTTCCTGATGTCCTGTGTATTCACAACAAGCCATGTTATCTTTGTTAACTTGCTTACTAAAAAAACAGCTTTGCTGGCGAGCAACTTCGAGGACTTAAACTCTACTCCAATAAGAAAGCATGTGAACTCACCATGGGATAGACAAGTTTTGTTTGAAGGCTGCGGATGACTGGAAACCGTCCCAAGAGCAATAGAAAGGCACGATTGGTTCTAGAGTCCTGCCTCCCATATACAAGATAGTAATTTGTGCCCAACCGTCGAACTTGCCCCAAATTGCCAAGCTTGACAGAGCTTGGATCATATGGCTCATTCCACGAGAGGTACCGCAGCTGAGGGGTTGAAATGTTGGCAACCGGCTGGCAGCCAACAAAGCAGCCACACACTATCAACCATTGGAGTGCCAACATTTCAACCCCGCTAGTCCGACCGGCCGCGGCGGCGGTGCCGAGGCGGAGGAGGATGAGGACCAGCACCTCGTCGGGGAGCGAGCTCAGACGGTCCTCCCCGGCGGCGGCCGAGGGCTTCGTGCACTTGGCGGCCATCGCGCCGCCGCTCTGCTCCATTTCTGGGGAGGGTTTTGGGTTCTGCCTACTCCCAACAGGCTATTTGTCGACGGGACGGTTCTCTCGAATTGGGCTGTTTGGACTTTGGATTCCTCAAATTGGGCTGTTTGGACTTTGGATCCCTCGAATTGGGCTGGAACAGCATTTCTGGGCCAGCCTGTTTGGATTTCTCAATGAAATTCCGAATCCCAAATGGAGACCCGCATCAAGATTCCTTCCTCGTCCTGGGCTGAAAACAGGAATGGGTGCTGTCACTGTGAAGCCAAAAATGCGAAAACTCCTCACTCAATTAAGAGCTCTCAATCCCCTAAAAAAAATTAAGAGCTCTCAAATGTCGCTGAAATATGTTCATGTTCAATTGGAAGCGTCTTGTCCTCACTTGAGAACTCTTTTGGTCTAACCTGGGAGCTCCGGAGCTCATTTGGGAAGCTTTGAACTCATTTCGCAGTCCAGCATTTAGGGCTCCTTTGGATCAAAGGAATCGCAAAGGAAAAGTGGAGGATTCTTATTCCTATACTACTTTTGCGCTGTAGCATCATTTGGAATGTAGGATTGAGGCATAGGAGAAATAAAGGGAATTTTCCTATGCTGCTGGTTTGATAGGGAAAACAAAGGATTTGTAACATCTGCTCTGGTAATTCAGAAATACTCCCATTCATATATATGTTGTCGAGCGCTCTCGGTCGTCTCTCTCCCGAGGCGACGCGAGGGCGACCAGCATCGCTCACCAAAAAGCCCGTCGGCCCCCTCCCCTTTGGCCGTCGCTGCTGCCGTCAGACGTGGCGGCGGTGGCGAGCGACGGTGCAGCCAAAAGGCTTGCCCTGTCTGCACCCCTCTCCTCCCTTGTTGCTCCTCTCCCACCTCTCTCTTTCACACATCGTGAGTGCTGAGACTCTGCTTCGATCTGCGTTCGGGGCTTCCGATTTCTCCTGAATCTCGCTCGATCTGCGTCGTGCCTGCTGGATTTGCCTGCGATGGCCGGTGCTTCGCTAGATCTGGGGGATGGGCGGTGCTCGAGGTGCGTGTGCAGGGCCCTGCAGCTGTGCGGGGCACGCAGTTTGGCTGCGGGCGAGCCGACAGTGGGGCAGCGTGCCCGTACGCGTGCATATGCAGGGGTCCATCAGTGGCGCAGTGCTCGCGGTTTGGTCACGGGCAAGCCGGCGGCGGTGCCGTGTCCCCATGGACGCCCTCCCCTCTGTGCGACTCTCTGGCCGTCTTCGGCCGCTGAGAGCCTACTCTGCCTATTGACGGGGAGGGCAGAGCGCTGGGTGGGCAGAACGAAGGTGTTGGCCATGCCTGTGCCCATGGCACAACATGGTGGAGGCTTCGGGGTGTTGCTGCTGCGATGCGGGGCATGGGGTTTGTGCCCATGTTCGACGACGCGGGAGATGGCTGGATACTCAACACATGTGGTTGCAAGCTTCAGGCATTGCGCTAGTTTGTGGTTACGGTGGATTCTAGACGAAAGTCTTGCTCAGCTTGTTGCCGGTGCTGACGATGATGGTGCCCGCATGTGTCATGTTCCTTCTTGGAGGAGTCGTCGAGGTTTCATCTGCCATCCTGTTGAGTTTGATCTCTAGGTGAAAACCCAAACTGGTGATCCCGGACAAGTAATTGTGGCATCTTTCCATGTCATTCCCTTCCGGGAGGCATTGATTTGGAGATCATTGGCACTCCTCCTCTGTGATGATTCTGCACAAGTTCTAACTAGCAAACTACGCTGTAAGTGTCCTAGCTTTGCAATTCTCCATGATCCTTGATTGCCTTTTCTCAACAAATGCCGGTAACGAGACCATGATCCCCTCTGTTGGATCTCCTCGCGCTCCTTTTGTCGGCCCTCCCTCCATTGTGGTTTCCTCCCCATAATCTCCTCGTGCTCCTTTTGCCATGCCCTGCCCTGCCTGCATTCTCCCAGCTGTCAATGTGCACCGTATTGTATCCACATGCATATATATGATATGATCTAGCTAGCTATGGATAATCACTACAGAAACAGAAGTTAATTATTCCTGATCGTCTTTTGTCATGCCAATTGCCAATGCATGCCACCTCATTCCCACAGGCATATCTTCTTCTTCTTTTCCAGCCTACAGCTCCTATAGCATCTATATAAACACCCCTTGCCCCCTCTCTCTAGCATCAATCCCCTCATCCTCATCTATCTCCCTCTAGTTTATCAGATTCCATTCTTCATTTCTCTCCTCATTATCCCATAGTCCCAACTGCAAGTAGCTACAGCCTACAGCGCTGCAGTTTGCAACAACCACGATTGCCATGGGTGCCCACACCGGCAGCCGTCGTTGCAGCCCGTCGACATCGACGGCGAGGAGAAGAACAAGGCCGGCAGCATCCTCCGCCGCCACCGTAGCCGCCAGTAGGCCTTCGCCGACGAAGCCGATGAGCAAGGACGATGCCGCGGAAGGCAAGGCGAGGACGAAGGCCTTCAACAGGCGAAGGGACATGGAGGTGAGGAAGAAGATGGAGGTGCTGAGGCGCCTCGTGCCGAGCGGCAGCGGCAACAGCGATGACGACGAGGTCGATGAGCTCCTTCTGCGCGCCGCCGGCTACATCGCGTGGCTGCAGGCGCAGGTGACGGTCATGCAGTTCATGGTCGACGTGCTCGAGGACACGAAGCATTAATCATTTTTTTATCAGGCTTGAGAATTGAGATGACATGTGTAATACACACCATATACATGATATTTACTTTTGTACTGGACCTCTTGGGTTCATGTGGTTCTTTACTTCTTTATCTCTTTGTTTGATTGATGACGCCCCTGAGGAGGGATCGATCCTGAAGCTTGAGCAAGAGCCGCTTGCTGAACTGGTTAACCCTTTTTTTCTTTCAAAAAGCTACCAGCAATAGCTTTGCCGAGCATGTATTGATAAAGGAGTATAAAATATACAACACAACAACGTAACACCACAAACCCTTCAAGAGATGGGCTTGGGCTAGATGTTACCCACTGGTAGAGAACCGAGCTTTACTTCCGGTGGGGAATCCCCTCTAGTCCCGGTTCCCCACCCGGGAGCAACCATCCGGGACTAAAGGGGGTCCTTTAGTTCCGGGTCAGGAACCGGGACTAAATGAGGACCTTTAGTCCCGGTGGGTAACACCAACCGGGACTAAAGGTGCCTCCTGACATGCCACGATGGCCGGCACCTTTTGTCCCGGTTGGTAATACGAACCGGGACTAAAGGTTTTTTTTTCTTTTTTCTTTTCTTTTTATTTTTTTGTTTTCGAAGTCGTATTGTACGCTGCTAATTATACATTTATACGCGTGTATAGTATGTTTCGGTTCAAGCACAATTAACGTATTAAATCACACAATTCAAGCATAGAAAAAAAAATATATATATATGCATGCATGCATCATATATATATTTACATGCATGCATGCATATGTGTATTTTACATTATATTATTTCATGTGCATATATTACAAAAAGATTGCATTACAGTTGTTGTGATATAACAAGTTTTTTCTCATCCTCTAGCTTGGCTTCCATGGCAGTGTTGGGTCGAAGTAGAACTCGCCCTTGGAATCGATGACCTGCTCATTAAAAAATCCGGCTATAGACTCTTGAATTGCTTTGATTTGGTCTTGCCGTATGACCTTTTCCTCCAACCATCGAGTCTACCGGTTTGAATTAAAGGAAAATAAATTAATATATATACATATATTTATATAAAGACATAGTAACACAATCAATAATAATAATTAAATGAATATATAGTGTATTTTTATCGTACTTTGAGTCTCTTTGTAGGAGTTCTTTGGGAGATCACCTTGATAAACTTGCAAACATAGTAACCACAGTAGTTGTTCCCCTGTTCCTGTCTCAGACACCACTTTACGAGAAAAAGATTTGTCATCCAATCTGGTGATCCGGTGAAAGCTATATGTTTAATTAATAAAGATGATGCGATTCAGGGGACTTACTTTCAAAGGGATTATATTCAGTGGCGCTTTGCATTTTTCCATGTGTTGCTTCTCAATAAAGGTTTTCCAAACACTGCCCAATAAAAAATTTGCCACATCATCAGATATAGTTAATCATCATGTTTGTGTGTATATATAGTTGTTAGAGATCCCGAAATTACCTCTGGATAATATGTATCATATCTTGGTAGTCTTGTTGTGGTTTTCTCATCGAGTCATAGATTATCAAGTGACTTTTCACCAGATCGATGTCCATCAATATCCAGTAAATGCTGCATGTGTTTATAGGATATAACGCATAACACTCATTAATTAACTAGAATCAACATATGCTCCATTAAGGATGATCGATATTATTAACACTCACTTGAAGTTATAGGGAAAGAGTATATCCTTCTTGTGGCGTTGGTTCACTAAGAAGTTCATGAGGTTACTCTCTGACTCAGACTTCCAATTAGTCTTTGGAGTAATTGGGTCTTTAAATATTATATGGGGATCAACAAAACCAATTTCATTGCAGCCTTTCTTTCTGAGCTCTGTCATTGTAAATCTACATATATATAGTACTTGTTAGGATAATTTATATGCATATACACACATATGATGAGTTTAATAATAGATCGAAAGAATTATTACTTACAGGCAATAACAGCTAATGATAACTTTGTCCAGAGAGGTCAGGTGGCATAGTTGATGAAATTCTGCAAAGTCAACATACATAACATCATCGCCACGGAACCAATGTTCGTCTCTAATTACGACACCAACGAGAAGTCTCCACGGTAGACGCTTTGCATGTACCACTTGTTTAGCGGTACATTTGCGTCCCCTGGATCGAGATAAGGCTTGAGGGTTGTATAGACTTTGGCCTAGTACAAATTTTTTCTTCCAAATATCAACCTCCGCCAAGACTCTCAATGTTTCCATCACCAAACATCTGGTAAAGGTCGAGACCGGTCTCATCAATAAATTCACCAAGGTGATCCAAATCGACATCCGGAGGTATGTTTGCTCGATGCATTAATCCTAAATTCGAACCATATTCATTACCAACAACTAGCGGGGGGCTGATTGGTGCGCTTGTTGTCCGAGTTGGGCAACTCCTTTCCCCTGCCCGCTTCTTTTTTTCTCTGCGCCTCAATTGACTTGGTGAGAGTGCGGTCATAGTCCGATAACGTTGATTTGGACGGCTTACGAGATTCCCATTGTTGTTGCCGGTAAAGAAGCCACCCTTTTTCTTAGAATATCCGGAGCTACTAATAAGTACGGTTTCTCCGGGTTTTTCCTTGCTTCTTGATTCTTTTTAAGTTTGTCATAGAATCTAGACATATCTTTTTTATATGCATCAGCCTCCTTCTTCCTTCTCTTCGAGATATTATTTTGGGAATAGCCCTTGGTTTCACGGTGGCTTTCTTTGCAAAGGGGGACCGGTTCTTCGTTTGAGGGACTGGCCTCTTGCTAGGCTTCTTGGTAGGCGGGGCGGGGAGGTGTTGGAGACCTCCTTGGAGGTGTTGGCAGCGGCGTTGGAGACCTCCTTGGAGGTGGCGGCTGCGGTGTTGGAGACCTCCTTGGAGATGGTGTGGATGCAGCCTCGCCTTCCAACACAATGTCATCGTACAGAGCACTATGATGATCTGGCGATTGAACAATTGGATTTAGGTTGGGGGAGGATCTGCTATAAAAAAAGGAATGACATATTATTATGAGCAGATTGTTAATTATTTAAGCCAATACAAATTAATGATGTAGTGTTTTCATCCGCACGTACCTATGGTGAGGTAGTTCAGGAGGAGGTGGAGCCGACATCCCTGGAATGATAATGTAGCGCTTGCGCCATAGAATGAATGCCTTCTCCGCTTCTCCTAGAGTCTTCTCACCATCACCTCCAAGAATGTCAAGAGGCAAATCACTAAAACCTTTTTTAGCTTTATCTACCGAGATGGTAGCATATCCTTCTTGGATTATATTCCCATGAATCCTTGGTGTCTTAGTTCGGTCGATAGGATTAACAAGACCGATAGCCACCTTGATTGTGGAATTCCCCTTCGGAATGTGTAGCTCACACGTTGTACAAGGTTCAGTGATGTCATCCATAGGGAAGCGCAGTCCTGTGTCCCCTTGATTTGGTATCTCCGTGGAAGCGCAACTGCTTTTCAACTGAACAGATTGGCTAATGTTGATGCCTGCTTGCTTGCACTCACTGCTATTTGCACTTGCCTTCTAATTTCCTCCTGCATTCTCGCTTCAAGGTTTTTTTCCCGCTCCTGTGCTTCACGCACCGCTTCTTCCAACCTCTGGAGCCGCTGTGCCTCTTCTTCCTTCTTTCTCTGGCGGCTTCAGAGGAAGGTCATCTGAGGGAATCCATGCTCCCACGAGACACTTCCTTTGCCTCTAGTTCGCCACCATGTTCAATAGTCCCGATGGCGTATGTTAGCTCATCCTTCTCTCTGTTGGGCTGAGCAGCACCACTAGCGATAGCTCTCTGAGCATAAAACAATCTTCTGCTTTGCTTCTTGCGCCTTGCGCCATAAACGCACTTCCCATCTCTGGTCCAGTGTTCCCCATGAGCGAAAAACCAATTCTTTGCACGCTCTCCCCACTCGAGTGATTCGGGTGTGATACCCTTGGCAAGAAGGTCTGCTTCCATTTTGTTCCACTTCTTAATGGCAGTCGGTAGCCACCTGATCCCAAGTTATGGTGGTATGTCTTCTGTTGGGCATTATGTTGGTTCTTTATCACCCGACTCGCACCCTCTTCTGATGTCTTGTACTGTACAAACTCATCCCAATAGGGCCTCTGCTTTGAGATCGGGCCTGGGACAGTAAAATCTGGTGCTATGTTCTTCTTGACATACGTCGTGTATAGGTGTTTCTTCCAAGTCTAAAACTGGGTGGCCATCTTCTTCATTGCCCAATCCCTAACTCGCTCCTTCAATTCATCACCATCTATAATATCATCATAACCATCTGTTTGGAGCGTGAAATGTACCAAGACATCTTTCCAAATTAACGTCTTGTCACGATCGGAGACAAAACTGATATGAGGAGCATTGGTCTTCTTCTTCCATTCGTGGGTACTGATCGGGAGCCCGTCTCGTATAAGGTAACCACAGTGGTGCACGAATTTCGTTTTATTTGCCCCCCCCGGTTCGCTTGTATCTACATTGAACTCCGAGATGATGAAGCGGCCCTCCAATGGCTTTTTGGGACCTCGAACATTTTTACTCTTCGTTGTAGTTGTTGATGTCGATCCAGAGGGCTACAAAACATAAACATTATTTTTAATGTCATGAGCACACATAAGGCATATGATAATTATATAGCTAATAATAAAAAATATATACTTGGCCAATATGTTGTTGCTCATTTTGTTCAAGAGCTAAATCTTGACTCCGTCATCGCATCCTCTTGCACGTTATTTTTAGCACCATCATCGCCGACAACTTGAGTGCCAATGTTGATCAAATTCATCATCAACTCCTCCTCATCCATGTTTCTCGGGTCGGCCATCTAGCTTCAAAAACAAAACCAATATATAGTACGTCAAATCTTTGCTTACATGCATAAAATCTACGAACAATATGCATTATTAAATCTTGCCCCTCGGTCACGGACGCAATTATACACTAGGGTGAATCTGCGTCGATGACTAAAGCGAACCACGTCGGTGACATCAACAACGCGGCTCGCCCTAGTCACCGCATAATTTCGCCTCGGTGTGATTGTTTAGCGTTAACGATAACGATAATCTGAATGTTGATCGACTAGGCATGAGAGAGGCGGTGTGTGACAAGAGTGGCGGTGCTCCACTCTGCCAGTATATATGTTTGTACACATGGGTGAACGAGGGCGGCGGTGCCGCCAGATACATAGAAACGCATGGGCGAAACGAGGGCGGCGGTGCTCCACGACGATATATATACATGCATATGAATGCAAATGACGATATAACCGTGTCGGGGCGGTGGCGGTGTCTTGACAGCGACGACGTGAGGCGCGGGCGAGGCGGTGTCGATGCATGATGTTGTTATATATCCTATGTACCATGTGAACCATGTAGTCATTCATCATATATCTTAAACTAAACATAGCCACTTTATTAACTACAATATATTTTATGCCGACCGCGTATACTGAATGTTGATCGACTAGGCCGCGAGAGGGCGGTGTGGCGAGAGTGGCGGTGCTCAACTCCGCCATATATATGTTTGTACACATGGGTGAACGAGGGTGGCGGTGCTCATCAGTATACATAGAAACGCATAGGCGTAACGAGGGCGGCGGTGCTCGCGACGTATATATACATGCATATGAATACAAATGACGATATATACGTTAATGGTAGCGGTGGCGGTGTCTTCGACAACAACGACGGCGTGAGGCAGGCCGTATGGTGTCGTCGGTGCGTGATGTCGTGATGTTGCAAGTTTCAGCTAGCTACGTCTACCATCGCTTGAACAAGACCTCGGCATCCACCTCGGCAAGGTTGTTGACTTGCACGTGGCGTGCTTCAAGAAATGATTCGCCGCAGCCATGGCATGCCGCTGCCCCCAATTAAGACGCCATTGTTGAAATCGACAACCATGCATGGCATGCCCCAAGACGAGCGGTGATGGCTCCTCCGCTATGGACGACAAGCGAAAAAGACCCCAACCATATGCATGGGCCCTCACCGACGCCTGTTTCACGGAGAACTCTCAACTCACCTGGGCGCGGTGGAGGCCCACGCAAGCCTGTGATGGAGGCCAGCCGCCGCGAGGTCGTCGGCGCGAGGTTGTCGGCGGTGGAGGGCCACACGAGGCGAGGCGCGGGCTCCCGTGTCACGGGGGCGGGCTGATGCGCAGGGGAAGACGAATCGGCAGCGGCACGAGGAAGAAGAGAAAGGGCGGCGGTGTTTGACGAGGAAGAAGAGGAGGGGATCGATCTGCGCCTGGCACTGGCGGTTATATACCTGGGAGATTTACTCCCGGTGCCAGCCACCAGCCGGGAGTAAAGGTCCTTTACTCCCGGTGCGTATTACCAAACGGGAGTAAAGGGTTTTTTTTGGCGGGCCACGAAACTGCAGCCCACCTTTACTCTCGGGTGGGCTTCCCACCCACCCGGGAGTAAAGGTGGCCTGCAGTTTCGTTTCCCGCCTGTTTTAAGCAATAGTCTTGTTAAATACAATAGAAATGCAATAGTTTTTGTTAAATACATAGTAAATTAAATAAAAGACATAAAATTATTTTGTTAAAAATATGGATTTTCTTTTTCTTTATTGCACATAGGAAAAATCTATAACCTAACTTTTTTATTTTTTGTTACAATTATAAAACATAATGTAACTAATATTTATTATTTCATTAATGCAAAAATGTAGTGTTTAATTAAAATTATTAAAACTATTGGTTTTGGACAGGAAATTTGTTTTCACATTATTTTAACGTTAATATTTTAATTTTTCATCACTCAATATCCTAATTTACCTTTTTGAGAGAGAAATCTCATCAAATCAAACATTGATTTAATTTGAAACATTACATAATAAACATCTGAATTCACAATTATTACATAATATCTCAAACACACACTACATTAAATCACTATATCATCAAGTGGGCACAACAGTGAATTTCTTCTTTACGTATGGCCCTTGGTTATGATCGCGTCTTAACCATGGAGTGTCCCTTGGTTATGATCGCGTCGTAGAATCAAAGCTTCTCCTTGACGTCCGTTACCGCTCGGCAGAGAACGTGCTCGCCGAGATGAACACGGTCCGCAAGTTCAACTAGCTACTTTAACCTTATTTCATGTAAATATGCAAGCTTGAAGTGATTTTGAGCTCAAATTGCTTACAAATGAAAAAAACCACAATAAAGAACCATATATATATATAGTGAACAAAATGAGATAAGACAATGGTGAAAAATGAGAGTATGAGATTGGTAACCTTTAGAACTGAAGAATCGACGGAGGAATCGAATAATGGATGGAGGAACAATGGAGGGAGGGAGGAAGCAAGAACACTAGTGCAGTGAGCTTCAAAATGTGCTGAGCTCGGGCTCGGAGAGGAAGAAGGAGACGGCCGGGATATAAAGGGGGACCTTTAGTCTCGGTTGGTGGCTCCAACCGGGACTAAAAATAACTTTCCAACCCCGGGCGCAGCCACGGCCCGGGAGTAGACCTTTACTCCTGGTTGGAGCCACCAACCGGGAGTAAAAGTATACCTTTAGTCCCGGTTGATGGCTCCAATCGGGACTAAAGGTCCCTGCCACCTCTGTCTGGCGCAGTAGCCGTTGGGGCAGACCAACCGGGACTAAAGGTATTTCTAGTCTCGGGCGCAAAAAAATCCGGGACTAGAGTCCATTTTAACCGAGGATCAAAGATCTGTTCTCTACTAGTGACCGTTGTCTTGTGCATGATCACCAAGTCAGCTCATGCAAGAATTTTTTTCCGATGCACATCCATCGTTGCCGCTCTAGACATCGAGAGTGGCATTGTTTTTTTTTATCCGCTGATCCTACTTCTCGCGAGTTGTTTCCAACTCTGTGAAACCTCACCATCCCTAACAAACAAAGAGTTTGGGCTAACGTTGTGTACTCCAGGTGGGTGTCGCGCGCTCTACTATGTTAACAAACTCTGTGGCTATGTCTGTACCGCAAGGACATGTCAACTCATCGTTGACTACAAGATCTTATAGTTTGTGTGGTAACATGTTAGTCCCGTTGACCACAACTGTTGTTGTGTCTCTCCTGCTTCGATGCCTTTGAACCTCAAGTCTATGATCACGCCTTTGGTGGAGTCCTTGCGATCGGAGCTCAAAACCTTCATTGCAATTATTCGTCTAGAAGAAGTGATGCATCCCCTCAAGGAGGAGGCTTATACCACCAAGTTATTGCTAGCGCGTGTGGCCAACCATTTGGAAAACATTCAGAGCCACATTTAGAGCATGCTTTCGTTGTTGACATGTACACATGGTCGAGCTCTTTGGTCCCTGTTCTCTGGCTCGGTGCTCTTCTGTATCATCGATCCTTTCTTCTCTTGTGGTAGCTTGCATGCCTGTTGACTCCTTGTTGTTTGAGGACACATGTGTGTGAAAGCTATTGATTCTATCATACATGACGTGACCACAAGTATCTCTGTTAAGGAGATTCACAAATAGACTGGACCAAAGACTTTGACATAGAACTTGACCAAAAGATGCCCCTGGTGCATGCCATTGAGGGTGGCCTCCGGAACCTCCATTGTTCATATGATCAAACAAATGCTACTGTAAGTTCTATCTCAACAAGTAAGACATCTACATCATTTTTTACTAACTATCCACATCATCTTCCACTAATAATAATCATGTAATGTCACTAAGTTCCAATCCCTTAATGTAAGCTATCCATGGCATCTCTACTTTATTTCATTTCAAATTCTTCGCAATTCCCATAGCAACGCGTGAGGTATCTTCTAGTTTATCCCAAAATCTCACACAACCTAGGCAACCAAACAAGCTAGACAGACTCCTCCATGATAGATTGAATTGGTGAAAAATGGTCTAAAATGAAGGAAGAACATCTCCATGAACCATCTCAAAACGTAAGACAACCTGCACAAATTAAATGCAACAAGCTTGAAATGAAAGGGAAGCTAATTACCAACCCTGGCGTGCTTTCTTCAAAAATCACCACCCTCCATGAGCTTCATGGAATCACGGTGAGAAGCCAGTTGGAGAAGGAGGATGGGGGGGGTTTGTTCTGTACATTTTCACCACCGAGTTGATATAAGAAGCAACAATGACGATGTCTGTTTTCTCCGTGTTACTCTAGGTGATGTGATGGAACTCAGAACCGATTATGATAAAATTTTTCACCTCCGGCTCCAACCACGAACCGCAAGTGAAAATGGCCTCTCCTTTCACTGTAGGTCTGTGGTTGGAACTAACCGGCTGTGATACACATTTTCACGGTCGAGTCGGGCATCCACTAGGCTCACCCACTTCAGAATCAGCAGTGAAAATGCATCATGGTCAGTTCGCTGGAAACCGGTAGTGATGGACTGCATGGAAAATGGTTTCTACAGTAATGTTTGTTAAATCTATCACATATATATTTATGCGAATTTTCTACTATTCATATATTTGATTTAACGTTTAAAAAAATGATCGCATTGAAATGCATGCAAATTTATGAGGCTAAGGAGTACAAGTATTTTTTTTTCTTTTTTCTCGAACAGGCAGGAGAGTAAGTATTTTTTTTACACATACACATATATATATATATATATATATATATATATATATATATATATATATATATATATTTGCTAGTTAATATCAAAATACTGAAGTATACATATTGTAGATATAGAAGCATAGAAGCTTAGTGATAGAAAATTGATACAAGGGACGAGGCGAGCCTGATGCCTCGTTGGCTTTGTAGCTGTCGCAGTTTGCCGGCTGGAACGACAAAAGCGATCTGCGGACGTCGTGCAGGACGAGGTAATTCTTCTGCATGACGTTGCCGATAATAGACAGGCTGGGAGACTTCTGGACGACCCAGCACACTACGCCGTCGCTCACTTCCATGACGTAGTTTGCCACCGGCAAGGCCATGTCAGCGCCGCCGTCGAAATGCAGCACCATCGCCGGGACAGCACTCGAGAGCAGCCTGCCATTGCTAGGTTTCCGGTAGCACGCCTCGAATCCGTCCCAATCCTCTACCTGGGTAAGGTTCGTCTGCGACAGGAACGCCGCCTTCGCCTCCGTGTACGCCGGCTCAGCAAGATACGTCAGCGTCGTGCCGGAGTCGAACACGACGCCATTGGGTCCGCCAACGCCGGCCGTCGTCGCCGAGCCGATCGTTATGCTACGCAGGTTCACGGCGTAGAAGATGGTGGACCCGAGGAGGCCGGTGGACTGCACGCCGGCGCCTGTCATGGTGGCTAGTGAGCCGAACAGCAGAGGGCTGGCCTTGGAGGCGTCACGGGTGAGGCAGTACATGAAGGTGCCGACGTGGAGCTGGGAGACGAGGGACAGGGGCCCGCGGCCGAGCCCGACGAGGCCGGAGCCGGTGCCGTAGTTGCCCTCCGACGCGGTGGTGCAGCCGAAGCCGACGCCCGGCACCGCTTCGCCGCCGAGAGTGAAGGTCTCGCTCCCGAGGAACCCCGGCGTGTACTGGGGACGGTCGCCGCCGCCGCCAAGGCCGTAAGAGTACGTGTAGTCGCACTCGGCGCCGCCGGCGGCACACCGTGCGACAGACCGCAGGGCGGTGCACAGACGGTGCGAGCACGGGAGCTTGGTGAACGAGGACGACTTGTCGGGGTGGTACGAAGGGGAGGAGGAGCCCCACGCGGCGCCGGCGCCGCACTTGGTCCAGATCAGGTCGCTGCCGGTGTCGGCGAGGGCTGTCAGCTCCTGTGGCGGCGTGCCGAATGGAGAACTCCATGTCGTAGGCGCCGACGACGCCGTCCATCCACAGGGGTACTGTCTCTGTGTTACTATTACTGTCCAAGTGGCTCGCCGAGGACTGCTTGTCGACTTGGGACCGGGCGGCGAGGAATGACAGCCGACGGTGAGACTCTTGAGCGGCCTGCGTGAAGTTGATGGCGGTGGTATCAGTGCGGGCACGGCGGATCATGGTGCCGCGGAAGCCTCGGCTTTCAGCATCGGCCGGAAGAGCGGGAACGACGAGGAAGAAGATCATGAACGACGCGAGGATAATAACTATGTGATTAGTAGTCATTTTGGATTTTCACAAGACGTGCCGCTTGTGCTTATTCCTTGATGTTTGCGTGGAGCATAGATGGATATATAGCAACGAGCACGTCGACTGCATTGTGGATATTGCTGAGCAAATACTTGGAAATTTCTCTTCAAGAGCCGTACGGCCCTCTTGTTGCACCCACGAACAAGAAGAACTTCTTGTTGCATTGCATTGTTTCAACCGCGCGACCTAGGTCGTCGCTGCAATGGATGAGCCTCGGGTTTTTCGTCGCCTACACAGCGGGAGCTGCATCCTCATTCGTCCGATCCCCAGTGTCGGCTACTACTTGAGCACTAGAATAAGCTAAGTTTATGCTCGGTATTTCTTAGCATGCTATCTTGCAAACTTTTTTTTTCTTCTGTGTAGCCTCGATCGCGTAACAACGATGATTTAATATAAGAAAGTACTAAATACATCTTTCGTACGTGTAATAGATGGACGTTGGTCCGTTCTAAAAAGACAAATGTTATCGCCATTCTGTTACTGAGTGTTTGGTTTAAGGATTTAGTTGATATGATCAAACATTTTTTTTACTTCTCATTTCTTGTTTGGTTTGGTAGAATTAAATGAGTTGATCCATTAACGTCTAAATTTTAATATGCTGGGTATAGGGCGTCCGTCCGTTCGGGCGGTGCCGATAGTGGGCCGCGACGGTGCTTTGCCGTGCCGCCTCGGCGAGCCGCTCTCCACTGTGCTTCCCTCTCCATCGCGCCTCCGCTATGCCAGCCAGCATCTCCTCAGCGCCAGAGCATATGGCAGCTCGTCTTCCTCCCTCTCCACCGCGGGCTTCTCCAGCGCACGGACCTGCCATAGCCTTTTTCACCGGAGCAGCGAGCTCCGCGCCACCGGTGAGACCTACATCGATCGGTGAACTCCACGCGCCGACGAGCCTCCATTCCCAAGTAGCAAGGAGATGTTGTGCTGAACGTGCATGTTGCAGACGTATGTTTGAAGTGTTTCATATGTTTCAGAGGTATATTGCAAGTGTTTCATATAGATGTCGCGAAAGTTGATCTGGATGTTGCATATGCTGCAAGTGTTTCATAGGCATGTTGCAAGCGTTTGTTCAAAGTGTATCATCTATTTCAGACGTATGTTGCAAGAGTTTTGATCTGGATGTTGCATGTGTTTCACACATATGTTGCAAGAGTATGTTCCAAATGCTTCAGCTGTTTCATTAATTCTTATGTTGCAAGTGTTTTATCTGGATGTTGCATATGTTTCACACATGTTGTAAGTGTATGTTCCAAATATTTCATCTACTTCAGACTTATGTTGCATTCAAGTGTTTCATATTGCAAGTGTTTTGTGTTTCAGAGGCATGTTCAGAGAGTCATGGGGGCATGGTCCGGGGGCTGAGAGAAAGGGCGCGGCGAGCCAGGGGCCGGCAGATGGGGCGCACGGCGTGCCTAGGTCCTGCGGACGGGCGTGCTCGTCCTCATCGAGGCTCACGGGTTCTGCTCGTGTGGAGAGAGGAGGGGGTTAGGAGAAGGAGTGGCGGCCGCAGCAGGGGTGCACGTGTAGGAGTGTTGCAAGGCGGACGGGAGCAGAGCAAGGCAGACGGGGACGGACGTGCATGTGCAGCAGCGATACGACGTAGCGGCAGGCGCGGGCGGGCGGGCTAGGGCAGCAGCATGTGCGGGGCATCCGGACGCGCTCGTCTGCGCCGGACGTCCGGCGCTAGTAAGTCCCAATTTTATAAGCTAAAAACTAATTGAGTTCATAAAAAATTATATATATAGAGAGAGAGAGAGAGAGAGAGAGAGAGAGAGAGAGAGTCATAATACACCATCTCGTGGTTCTCAAGCCAAACAAATCATTGGATACGCGTGAAGCCCACCAATATAGAATATATGTCGATGTGGTGATGATTACACCAGCTAGCAATAAGCTGCTGAATATATAACATAAGCATGCATAGTATCGTTTAAAGGTCATATATACATGGTTTGGCACGGTACAAAACTGGTGCATACGTGGAATTATCTGAACGCCGAACGTTGTTAGAGTGTACAGTTAGCTAGATCCAGACCAGAACCAATCTACTAACTAAAGAACACGGAATCGTAATCACCCTAGAAGAAAATATGCAAACGAGAACAAAACGGAGGCACGATCTTTTTTAATAGGGTTTGGTGATGTGTCTACGCCCTCGGGACTAGACTACATGCGCTCCTCCCCATAAAACAATAGCTACACCGACATTCGTGCATTCCCGCGGTCTTACTGTTGCCCAAACCAACAAACAAGTCGTCTCATAGTTAAAACAGTGGTTGCCTCATATTTATGTCTCCCTAGGACGCAGAATTCAACTACAACTCTATCCTAGCCCCTAATATAACTCAAGTCCAATTGTAACCGTATTTACACATATTCGACACATATCTAACAAACTTCACCTCGACGAATATGCATGCCACCTTAAAGTCGTCCATGCCTAAACCTCCGTGTACCTGAATTGAGATGTTACCTTTGCAGCTCCACAAAAGCTGTCCAACCAGTCTGATCATAGACCCATTGCAAACAAGAGACTCTGCTATTCTTACAACTCCATACTCCATGACTCCACCTGCAGCTATGCACTCTTCTCTTTTATCATCATAGTATGTGTTGAGTATAATTAATTCCTCTACAACCCTGACATGCCTGACTTCCTGAAGCACATCTGCTCCCTATTAAGAATCGCACGAGCTAACTGAATCTAACACCATACTCGAGCCTGAATGTGCACGTGACACCGAATTAAGCAGCATGCAATCATATTTTGCCAAGCCATGCTGCTGCCCATCTGTATAGTTTTGTGGTTATGATGTTGTGGAAGTGTATTGAGTAGTTGCAATGTGTTTGCAGCCCATATGTATGTGCCTAAGGTTCACCAGGGAATGAGGCAGCTGTAAGTTAGGTTACTGAACATTGGTACTATCTGGTTCTGCTGATGTATAGATGTTTCTATGATGTTAACTCAATCATGGAAAGTTATATGCTCGCATGTAAGTGCATAGTAGTGCACTTGAAGCATGTTTTGTATGTGCCTTGCCTAACTTATTTGCTTTGATCAATTCTACATAAAAGAAAAGTCCAAGGTTCGGACGATCCGTGAAAACAACGACTCCTGTGCGCCTCCACTGTCGAGACAAGTGTTTCTGAGCCAAGACCACATGAAAACAGCATATCACATGGATTTCATGTGGTCCTCCAAAACGTGTATACAAAACCATATGGGAAACTCCCAGAGCTCCTGGGAGTTGGGTATATTAGGGGTTGAGGGTTCGGCTGGCTCAGACCATAGGTGAAGTGCTATGAAACTACTATTTTTTTTGCGTTCTTGCTAGGACTGCTCCGCCTGACCTCAGTTCCCCCTACTCGACCTCGTTTGCCGGCCGACAGCCTACCGCGGCCTGCTTTGGCTAGCTGCAGCTGGCTGCCCGACCGCCATGGCAGGCCAGCGTGCGGCCATGAGCGGCCATGGCTGGCTTCGATCGGCCGGATGCCTCTCTCGTGGCTGCATACGCTACATGGTCATCGTGGCCGGACTTATCAGCGGTTATAAAAATATCGCGAGATCAATTCTGCATAATTCATTGCCCCTTATAACAAGAAATTTGATCCTCACCTGGAATCTGCCAACCTTCTCGCATTCTCTCATGTGATTTAGAGGCTAGAAAGGGTAGAACTTCATTGGTCGCTTCTGAGTTCTTTGATCGATGGGTGGTCCCTTGTGAGGCACACCTGCTGCTTCTCTTTTGGAGAAATTACCCCACTCTTGCTAGAACAATGAAGAATGAGGAGATTGATGACATAGGCCTGATCGGTAAAAAACCCAAAGGTCAACAGAATGGTGGCTGCACTCGTACATGGCTTAGAGATGCCTTGATTAAGCAATATACAAGGGCATACGTCCTCTCTCTCTATCTTTTTGGTTGTACGCTATTCCCAAATTCAAATCAGAAAATCAACTATAACTTGCTTCCCCTTCTTGAAGATTTTGAAAAGGTTAGTAAATACAGTTGGGATATGGTCTGTTGGCAAATCTATATTAGGAGCTGAACATGTGCTGCCAAAGGGTGGATACAGGAACACCAACCGTTGTGGGATGCATGCTATTTCTCCAGTTGTGGTCTTGGAATCATCTGCCTCTTGGTAGGTCAACACGTGTGAGCACCCTCATATGTATTGGAGAACCATGAAACATGCAATCTTGTGGTCGGGTCAAAAACTCTGTATCGAACCCCATTCCCTGGTCATTAAGTAAGTTCTCAACGAACTTGTTTCAATACGACGTCACTATTCTGTATCGAACCCCATTGATTCTCTTTGGTACAGGGAATTTGTTCGTCAAGAGTGGCATCAATCAAGGGATCCTACCCCGCACGAACATGATACCCTTCTTTCAGAGGGTGCGGGAGCTGGGAGGCCTGATTTCATTTCTTGGTTCAAACAAAAGGTCGTACGTTCGTCGATATTCCTTAGTAGCTCGTACGTTCCAATAGTATAACGATGCATCATGCTTGAGCTTGCAGGCGCAAACCAATGCGTCCATGAGTGACGAGTTGAGACAGGTTGCAAACGACTTCAAGTTAAGGGTGAAGTTATATACCGGTTATGACGTGAACGGATATCGCTTCCGCACGTCAAGACACGAGTAGACTCGGCCCTGTCGGAAAACCACCAACAGCCAAGTTTTTACGCCGGGCACTAATGGCGTCGAATACTATGGAATAATTGAGGAGAAGGACCGGGTACCTCTTACTTCTGTCATATTCAAGTGCCACTAGTTTGATCCTGCACGAACGAGACGGACCCCTCATCTTGGGCTAGTCGAGATTAGGCATGATTCCGTCTATAAAGGAAAAGATGTCTATATTGTGGCTCAACAGGCCGTTCAGGTGTATCATACGCCATACGCGTGCCAAGACAAAGACCATCTTAAGGGTTGGTCTATTGTGCACCAGGTATCTTCGCACGGTAAACTACCTATT